GTACCAAAAAAAAAGATAATAGGAAATAGGCAGATCTTTTTCAAATGGGCAGGGGAACAAGTGTTAGAGGGAGGAGCAGGGCTGGGAGAAGAGGGGGATAAAGAAAGAATTAAGACATGTGCCAAGTCCCCCATAATAAATGCAGTCACTATGCACGGCCAGTGTGTACTAATACGAGTTCTTTTAAATGCCAAATACACTGAGGGTAAGGAAGGGGTCAGTCATCTACCAAAGGGAATTTTCTTTTTTTATTCAGTTTATTGGTACATTTCAGACACACAATTCATCACAGAGAACTGTACCTGTACCCAATTTTCTTTCCCATCCCCTGCCCTCCCTTCCAGCCCTCTTCCCCTCCTTTGTGGAGGGCCATGGGGAGGGCTCTCCTTGGAAGAAGACCGTCTGTCTCCTTCTGGCTAAACCCGGCCCTGAATCCATGTCCTGATGTGTACAGGGCTGGCTAAGGTAACACTCCACCCGCTCGCCTGGCTTTACGCAATGCAAGTGCGTCTGAGGCGCTGGTGTGTATGCAGCCTGTGAAGCAACGCGACAGGTCACTGACGCCTGCCTGCAGCTCCCTACTAGCGTGACCTGCCCTCGGCGCTGTCTCAGGGTGGAGGGGCCGGACATCAAAGCACTAACCAGAAACACAGAGCACTTCTTCAAACTGTGTCATGCAGATTCCTCCAAACTTAGACGCTGCCTGTTACCGGAATCCGGAACTCTCTGCACATTGCAGAGGTGATCTCAGGCCTCCTACCTGGCCCAGCTCACAGCACTCATGGACTTCCCGCCACTCAGGCACGCCCCTCTTCACAAACTAATAAAACCTGGCTTCGCGCCTGGGTCATGGCCTTCATTCCCGTTAGCCTTTGCGCCAACTGGACTTGGGCCCCCGGCCCCCCACAACCACAGAGATGTATTTGTCTCTGTATTATCGCCCTGGGTGGCACTGGAAGTGGTAGACTGGAATTTACTTATTGGAATTTCAATCACTTCTCCCTGGGATTATAAATATAAACTCCTGCGGTCCACAACAAGGCCAGAGCCAGTGCTCTATACTCCTTATGTGTAAAACCTTTGTTTCTATTTTTTCCTCCTTTTCTCATTTTTTTTCTTTTCCCTTCCTTCCTCCCGCTGCCCAGTTCCCCTGCCCATTGGAACATTTTCTTCTTATTTCACAACATCTATTATACATTTCGGTCCTTATTTACACTTTCAGTTTCTCACACCAGAAAAACAATGTGGTATTTACACATGTGTGTTCGATTTATTTCACTTAAGAGTGTGGTCTCAGGGGCTGGGGATTTAGCTCCGCGGCACAGCGCCTGCCTAGCAAGCAGGAGGTCGTGAGTTCAATTCCCGATACTGGGAAAAAAAAAAAAAAGAAAGAAAGAGAAAAGAGTGTGGTCTCAAAGGCACCCATTTACCTATAAATGCCTCAAGCTTATCCTTCTTTATGGCTGAGCAGTACTCCATTGTATTAAAAAAAAATCTTCTTTATCCATTCATTAGTTTGATGGGCATTTGAGCTGTATCCAAGATTTAACTATTATAAACTGTGCTGCTATAAACATGGCTGTGCACGTATCACTGTGGTATGATGCTTTTCCTTCTTTCAGGAAGACACCACGAAGGGGAGTAGCTGGGCCAAATGGAACCTCTATTCCTAGGTTTTGAAGGAATTTCTACACTGATTTCCACCATGGTTGCTCCAGTCTACATTCTGCCCAGCAGAGGAAAAGAGTTCCTTCTTTCCCACAGCCCTTCTGCATTTGTCATTGGTTGATTTCTTGGTAACAGCCATTCTTTTCTGGAGTGAGGTGGACTCTCACCCAGATGGAATTGTTTTAATCTGCATTTCTCAAATGACCACTGATGCCATTTCTACTTTTTCATCTGCGAAGTGTCTATTTCAGATGCCCATTTTTCAACTGGGTCTTTAAATGGGGGGGGCCTGGTTTTTTTGAGTT